TAAAACATGAAAAAAACCTTAAAGCCCTAAGTGTTTTCAGGCCAAAATATAGGAATAATAACAGGCTTGGAGGAATTACTTTTCCTCTCATGAAGTTTTATTTTGATTTAAATGGCCTTGTGTCAGTATTGTCTGAGTAGCAATTAACATGATTCAGTGCCATCCCTCTTCTTTCATGAAAAACAGCGTCTGTCTTCATGGAGTGGGGTGGCAGCAGTGGCCACTCTCCTGTCTCCAAACCCCACAGGCTTATGGGCCCTAGACCGTCTTGGAGATATCTTAGAATGTGAGAAGGCGTGCTGGGCAAACTTACAATGTGTTTCTTCTAGGAGATGGGCACCCCTCCTGGCGGGCAAGCTTCTTGAAACCAGGGGACTGATTTATTGGGCTTTGTCTCTCAGATTGGCCTTGACATACCAACAGATAATTTGATTGCTTTCTTCCATTCAGTCCTCAATCATACAAGTGACTGTGACAGGATTTTGCTTAATTGCCTGTGCTAGTTATTTTTATCAAAAGCTTATTTTCCCTTCTGTGAAAGTATTGAAAAATCTGTTAGAAACAAAGAAGAGCATAAAGAAGTAATAATGATTTTTCATAATTTTACCACCTAGACATATTTACATATTACATTTTTTGCATATCTCCTCCCATTTTTAACACCACTTATCCTAAAAAAATAATTAAGGTTGTTGTACACACAGTTTTATACTCTGATTCCTCACTTTGTGATTATTAAGTTATTTTACAACAGATTTTCAAAATGTTTTTCTCTTTTGAACAGTCCCTCAACATGGTAGGCAGGGAAAGTATTTTTATTCTGTTTTATAGATAAGAAAATGAAATTTCAGTGAAGTTAAATTTATTCAACAAATATTTGTTGACTGGCTTCTGTGTTTTAAGCACTGTGCTATCTGAGGTCACTTGGATAAGTAAGTAGTGGAAACACAACTAGAATATAAGTCTACGGACTCATAAACATACGCTAATGCCACACCTCCCAATGACCAGCTTCTTCCACACATCTGTAGCAGTTACAGTAAGTAGGTCTTTGAGAGAATATGGCATTTAAGACAAGGTTAGAAATGCTGAGATGGGAATAAGCAAGACAAGGTCTAGTTCAAGAGCCTGAGACTCTAGACAGTTTATGAAGACAGGATTTTGATCCCAGGGGACAGGGTGAGAAACCTAGGTATCAAAGCTGGATCACAGCCTTAGGGCCAGAATGGAAGACAATGGGGATCATTTCCACTGCAGCTTTGCATAAGTGGTGGCATTGGCTAAGCATTTCATTAGCTGTGAGGAATGTAAGGACAACAAGGGGAACTGGGTGGGGGTATCTGTACAACCTCTACAACTTTTCTGTAAATTGAAAACTATTTAATGGCAAAAGTTATTTTTTAAAAAAATAAGTAAGAGTTTACCAGACTCAGCTGAAGAGAAAAGGCATTCTAGGCAAAGGAAATGTATACAAAGAGTCAGGAGGGAACACGATGTGCTTGAGAAAGGTTAGGGATTTGAGGGAGTTGCAGTGGGCTGTGGCTACGTACACTGAAGTGAAGCTGAGTCCGGGTTGGGTCTGGATTAGGAAGGTCTTTACTTTAGGCCCCGCTTAAAAGTGTTAGGATTTATCCTGCACAAAATGGGAAGTCATTAAAAAATTTTAATTGACATAGTTCATGTTTGAGTTTGTTTTTTATAAAGGTACCTACCAGCACATTGGAGAAAGGCTGTAAGAGAGGGAGATTGGGATAATAAGATCAATGAGAAGGCTGTTGCTATGCTCTGGGACAGAGATACTGCCCTGAGCCAGGCAGTGGGCTAGAAGCACAGGGGGTATGGACAGGCATTGAGAGGCAGAGCCCTGTTTGGAGCTAAGCTAAAACCCTAAAAAGACCTGGCTGCATCCTTCCTGCATTTTCCTGCCTCTATTCTCCATTCCCATGAGTGGTTACAACTCCAGTAGAGAGACAGGTTAAAGCCTGGTTGATCAAGGCCACCCAGAGCCCCATTGTAGGCACTCGTCCAAGCCAAGGCAGCAGAGTTGAGATGCCCCTTCTCCCGTGCTAGGGAGGTTCGGCGGCAGGTGTTAGAAATGTGAGTCTTTGTGCAGGGCAGAATATCCAGTCCCTGGAATGGATATGTTGTCATGAGGACTCTGTGAGTCACTGAGGTGGTCCAGGGGCCTTCGTAATGCCACCCACCCATGAGGTGCAGCATACCACCCATCAGGGTTTAGCAGCTCCAATGCCTGTGGAGCTTTATGGGAATGAGACTCAGATAGCCCAAATATATACCAGGAGTTCCCTGAGTCCACGTTGGAGGGTCCAAAGAAAGCAGGGCATCAATACCTTGACTCCTTTGGCTGAGTTTGTTCTCTTCCCTTTGACCAGCACTTTAACCCAGGCACAGGAACTGGTCTGGGTCCCAGTGCTATTTCCTGAGATCCAGTGGAGAGACAGCTATGAGCTTTCTTTCTCACTATACCAGTTCCCAGAGTGTGGTATCTTTGATGTTCTTGAACAGGACATTGGGTAGATCTTAACTGCTCTTCACTGCAGTGTTCCTAAAATTGGTTAGTGCCACCTGTGGGGAGCCCCTCCGAATACATGGCCATGCTCTTAGCTAAATGGTTCATTCATCACTGCCAGGCATCCTATTATTTAGAAAAGAGTGGGTCTTAGTTGGTATCATGTCTAAGGTGACAGCAGAAGTTTCCAGGTTTTTAAAAAACTGGTTTTAAAACCACACATCTCATTCTGATGTTCCTGCTCTAGGTCTTAGAGTTGGGGTACCTTCAAGGTGGGATGATCCCACAGATTCTAGAACTGTGGCCTCAGAGTCAAGTCTCAGTGTGCAGACCCTGCCACAGATGTCAAGACTGTGGGAAATGCTGGGAGGGTCGAAGTGTACTTAAGCAGCACTACTGGCGGCTCCTATAGGGCCCCTGCTGGCCCTTTTCCACAGAAGGGTGGCTCTCCTGCTTGGCTTAACTAGGGGTCTGTGGTTTTCCTTGATGAACAGTAGACACTGCCTGAGGCAACCTGATTCTTTAACCACTTGCTACTTAAATGGCAGCCCATAGATCAGCAGCAGCATCACCAGGGAGCTTGTTAGACAGAAATAATCTTAGGCCCTGGAATCAGAAAGTGTACGCAAAGTCCTTGGGTAATTTCTGGGCCTGTCACACTTCGAGGATCACTGCTTTAATCATAGGGTGGTTCACGGTCTTGGTTGTGCATTACCATTACCTGGGGAGCTAAAATATCCATATCCGGGCCACTACAGACCAGTTAAATCTGAGTCCCTGGATGTGAGTCGTGGCCTCCAGAAGGTCTTAAAAGTCCTCCTAAAAGATTTTAATATGCAAGCAAGGTGGTGGCCCGGTGGCCCCGAAGAGCAGGAGGTGTGAATGCGGATCGCAGGGAAGCTTAACTTTCCACATGCCCAAGAGCTGCGATCCTGATTAAGCTGTCTCGTGATGGGGGCTGGTATCTGGATTTTTTTTTTTCTCACCAACTAACAGTTGAGAATCATTGATGAGAAAAAGGATTCATCATCGCTGCCCAGGCCCTACAGGAAGGGGGTGCAGTCCCCAGAGCACCTATGTCTCCTGTTGTTTCTGACCCAGGATAGGGTCTGGCTAAGACACCTTAGGGTGTCTGTCAGGGAGGCATCAGGCTATTGGACAGACCTTGCAGGCTCAGGAGGATGTGTGTTCTTGGCCTCCACGTGCATATCAGGGAAAATGATGACATGTGCACTACAGTGAAGACGAGCAGTGAGCTTTTGACCCTGCTTGTGGTAGGAACCAGGGTGCAGGACGAGCTGTACACTTGGGTCGTTTTTTCTTGCTTTACTGCTGAACGTCATCCTGCGCTGCTGGTGGCAATGGCTGAACTCGAGGGCTCTCTGGCCTGGGCAAGTCAAAGCAGTAATTAAAGGAAAAAGACACTTTGTGGGAGACACAGTGACATGGCTTCAGTGGATAGACAGAATGAATTTGGACGTAAATGTTCATTCCAGAAATAAGTTCTTCCCAAATGGTTTCATTTTAAGGATGTGTCAAGATCTGTAAGAGGTGATGGAGGAAGTGCAACTCTCTGTCACACTTTTATTCTTTCTAAGGTTTTAAGATGGCTCTGGGCCTCTGGGAAACTCAGAGGGGTGCTGTCTGCCTACCTGCCTTATCAGGATCCCAGGTTAGGAAGCAAGTTCCTAAGGTGTGCCCAGGCACTCGTTCTGTCCCTCACACTCCCTTTTTCCTCTCACAGCTGGCGACTTGGGACTCCGAGAAGGGCCTGAATGGCAGCCTGCAAGAGAGGCCCATGGGCAGCCGCCTCCAAGGACTGACTCTCAAAGTGGTGACCGTCTTGGTAGGATCATGGGCATATTGGGGAGGTTCGTTCTTCAGGCTTTTGCATCAGAGGCTTCTCTGTTTGATGTAATGTTGGGTTTGGAGAGAAAGGGGATCTTGAGTAGTGGCTTGAGTTTTTGGAAGGTCTTTCACTCTAATAATTTTGTGAATAATGAAGGAAGTGCAAGATTGGAGATTCTGCCCTAGGGCCTCTGAGGCCTCCCGTGGGAGGCCACTGGGATGCTCTAGAGAAGGACCACTAATCCAGATGCACTGTTGAGCTCCAGAGAGGTCACAGATGCTCTCCTTTTTCTTGGGTGTAGACAGAATCATGACCTCCTGGTGGTCCTTAGGAGAGCTTTTCCAGTAGCCAGAAAGATGCCGGGAGGGGACATTCTTCCAGCTCCCAATACCACTGACAGGCCCATGTGATACAAAGTTCATAATGAAGACCATTTATTCGTTGCAATTTTTCTGCACAATTGTCCTGGAATCATAGACTTTTACATCTGTAAGAGACCTTAGAAGTATCATCCTTTCAATTTCTTTCTTAAAATTGTTTTAAAATTGTTGGGGACATTTTAGACTTACCTCTTACTAGCTGGTCAGACATGGTGCAAAAGTTCCCCTCTGTCCCAGCAGGCACCAGTGTCTCAGCTCTAGAAACCTTTGGCAGCAGTGTGCTGTCATTCCGAATATGCACGCCATGAATAAGGATTACACTCTATTCCCCCCACCCCACCCCCCACTCCCTAAGCTTAACGAAATACATCCTCTGGAGCTGTTTAAAAGGTCCCTTCCTGTTTAGTTTCACAGGATTGTGGTGGGGGAGGCAGAGGTGTTTTCCAGATGGCCACATGCCCTATAGGAGTACATGTGACACAGCACACAGTATGTGACAGTGAACATGGCATAGCTTTGGACATGGGATTTGGGGTTTACTCTTATCCTATCCTGTGACTTATGGTATGATCTTAGTCCGTGAATCAGCTTCCATTTTCTAGTACAACCCGATAGATGCAATACTGTCTTCTCTCAATCTAATATCATACAACTTTATTGTCATTTATTATCATGGAGGAGAAATATCCACATTTCTTATGTGGGTCCTGAAGAATTATGGCATTCCCTAAGGACAGAGGCCTTAATGCCACAAATAGAGGAACAAAAATAAACCATGTTATTTGGGAGGTGGGGTTCTGGACAGAGCCTGGGGTAACATGCCACAGGACAAGTAAGTCTCCATTCCTCCACTGATGTGCTGGTTGGAGGGCTGTTCCTGTGCACTGTACCCTGAGTGCCCATAAGCTGCTTTAGGAAAGGGCAGAGAGGTTTAAACTCCAGGCTAACTGGGTAAATATGTACACAAACATTCCAGAGTTGCAATTCATCAGATTGGTCTCTCCGACAAGGCCCTGGAAAGATGTGTGTTAACGAACCTATTATTTAATTGAAGCACATTCATTCTGTTGTCCTCAGGAAGAGCCTTTTGTGATGGTGGCTGAGAACATCCTTGGACAGCCCAAGCGCTACAAAGGGTTCTCCATAGACGTCCTGGATGCACTGGCCAAGGCCCTGGGCTTCAAATATGAGATTTACCAGGCCCCTGATGGCAGGTACGGTCACCAGCTCCATAACACCTCCTGGAACGGGATGATCGGGGAGCTCATCAGCAAGGTAGGTCCCAAAAGAAGGTGCATGGGGAAGGGCACCCCAGTATACCTCTGGGGTGATAGCTAAATTTGGCCCATTATGCAGTTGAGCCTTGGGACCAGTTAAACAGACCACAGTTACCCCTCTCCACACAGTAAAGCCCTCTTTTTCTCAGCATCTCTCCGCCCCATCATACCCATTTCTGCTCTTTTATTTTCTCATTCCCTGGCCCTCTGTGTTTTCCTTCTGTGCCCATTGCTGTCATTCCTCGAAGCCTATCCACTGTGCCTACTCTGTAATACACCCTTCATGAAACCCACCCCCACATGTGGGCTGAAATAGGAACCCAATTCTTGCTTGGGCAGGGTACTGGTGGGTACTTATTCTCCTCTCCCTCATAGTCCAGGAGCGGTGTGTGTGTGTGTGTGTGTGTGTGTGTGTGTGTGTGTGTGTGTGTGTGTGTGTGTGTGAATGAGTGTGTGCGTGTGTCTGCATTGCTATGTGCAGGTGATATGGCCTTCCTCAACTCCTCCTATTAATTTCAAATCATTACTCATCCTCCCTCCTGTAGAACCTGAATCCTCACTGAGGCTGCTGGCATGAGACCAATTCACTGTGTCCCTATCCCTGCCCCTGTCATCCCATGACCTCTGGGTCATTTCCTTATAACCATTTGTGATGGTGGCATCACTAAGTCCCCCCTGTCCAGGGTTACTATTGCCACCAACCTTGATATTTCTGACATGCCTGTGGGCAACTCTGGGATCCCAGTGCTTGACCCCCTCACCTCCTGTGACCTGTTCTTGTTTTCTGCTCTGGCACCCACATCCATGCACCTTGGCAGCATCGTACATGTTGTTGTCACTGTCCTATTCCATGACTACAGCCTGTCATCCTCCTGAGCCTTTTAGTTCTTTGCCCCTAAAACATGGGCCCTTTGCTTTATAAATCCATAAAGGCAGACAGGAGGCCCATAGCTCTCTAATTCTACCAGGCTTTAAAAAACAAAACAACTTTATAGTATAATTTATATACTATAAAATTCACCCATTTCAGATATACAATTCAATGACTTAGAAAATCTACTGAGTTGTGCAACCATCTCCATAATCTAGTT